ACAACATAACACTTCATAATCAATCCAACGCAAAAGGCAAAACGCCGACTGGACGTAGGGTCGTTACTCGATCTACGATCGAGGGCCTGAACCAGGATAAATCGACTGTCTCTTGCGTTTACCATCGAGTTCAGCATACGCCGAAGCCCGAACGATACTGCCACGGTACCCCTGTGGCAGGCTATCGGTGGTAAAACATCGACAATGGCATGCGTCCATGATTCTGTCATGGCACAAGTAGATTTATAGATCGCTGGACTTGTAGTTTGCCATTCTACTATCAGTGCTGCATCAGCTGATTGACCTGTTGATAGTGCCATAAATTGGGTTTGGTCAGTTTGTAGATTTGTTTATGCTTTGATGGTTGAATGTTTACACGCTATACAACAAATTTACCTAGATCGGCCTCCCTTGGTCGGTTGTTTATGCTTTCACGCTTGTAGCACGTGTTTATGATCTTGTCTCAATATGGATAGATTTATATGCTTTGAGAGTTTAATTTGTTACCAGTATCATGACTGTCTCCGATCCATTCGTTCCCCTCTGTTGTGGTGATAAATTAGATTTGATGAACCCGTAAATTCATTTATATTAAGACAAGTGATTGACCATGTGTTATGCATTATGTTTATCTTGGAATCGGTTATTCTGCTGATAGCCTATGCATTGCTATTTTATTGGCTTATATTTATTGCACTTGCTCTTGTTTTGATCTCTAAGCCAGTACAAAGTTTAAGTCAATGCAGATGTTCTTCATTCATATCAATTGACTACCATGTTCTCGCATGTTTTATGATTATTGGCATTGAATTTACATCATTTAATATTTGATAATTGCCAATAGTATATGTTTTTCAATATCTTATATCATGGACATGCTGAATATCGACTATTTAGTCGATAGCCTTATTGAATCGGCTATCTAGCCGTACATTTGGAACTGTCTAGAACAACACTGATACGTTCCACCTTAAATTACTGATTATCTTTTTTTTCTTGTCATTTGCAGGGTCAAATTGACTGGCACGCCACAGGTTTGAATCAATCAGTCCTATGTCCTAAGCCCGGAGAGAGCTCGGGATCTGCTCCACGCGGTTTCTCTCGGCTTGCTGTGTGTCCCGGCACCCTGTCACTTTTTGCCGTTGACAGGAACAACTAGCTACTAAGGTGAAGAAGGCAACACCAACAGAGGCTAACAACTAAGACATAACTACTGTTTGAATGCCTGTTCTTTTGTATGTATTTTGGAGACAGGAATTCCTATGACCAATTACGTATGGCTGTCATGGACATGTTATGACTCATGTTATGTATGGGATGGACCAGTTATGTATGGCTGTCATTGCCGGTATGGACTTGTTATGGTATGGCTGTCATGTGCCAGTATGGACTTGTAATGTATGGCTGTCATTGCCAGTATGGATATATTATGTATGGACTAGTTGTGTATGGCAACTGCTAAAACTGATAATGGATTAGCTTGGTATGTAAATTTCTGTCAATTTTATCTTCTTGTTGGCTGTCATTGAATTATTGGCTGTTGTCATGACAAAAGAACCATTTGATGCAACATACAATAGGCAACACAATAAGATAGCATTTCCATTGCATTAATATGTTCAACATACATTTTTCTACCACTGAGAACAACCATTCACTTGAACACATACATTATGGCAACAATGCATACAACAAATAACACTAAAATCAACATCTTAAGCAAAGAAATCAGGGCATCCATCTTGGCTTCCATGCTGTTATTCCCAGCACACTTTAACTGTGCTTCTTCTTCTTCACCAAATCCCCTAGCTTCTTCTGCCCCTAGGCCAGCTTCAAGATCAATGGCAACAAAATTCAACTCCACAAGCCTATTCAAGTATGCTTTCTAGAATTCATAGAACCTACAATTACCAGACATCTGAAAAATGCCCAACAGTTAGGGTTCTTCAACCAAAACCAAAACCAAAAAAAATTGAAAATGGAACAAGAAAACCCTTACCCTGGGCACATTTCTGGGACACTTGAAGAACACGCGCCCCTGGTTTCTATTCTCTATTGTCCTCACTATGAGCTTGATTACCCTCTCTCTCTCTTGCATGTGGGACATGATCAGCGGGAGCCTAGTCTCCTTCCCGGTGTCTTCCTCAATAGCCCATGATGCCATGCTCCTTGACGAAGAGGGCTTCGACCTCCGAGCCATGAGGTGCACAAGGGAGGAGGATTAGCCGTCACTGTCGCCGGGGAAGAGAATGGGTGAGAGGATGAAGAAGGGATGCGGCTGTTGGACTGGGGAATGGACTGAATTTGACTCGGGCTGGACCGGCTCGAGACAAAAGAAGGAGGTGAGGGCAGCGTGGTCATTTCGCGTGCCAAGTTAAGGCTCCTAGGCTCCCTGCCACGCTGGCGTGCCACCTTAGCAAAAATGGCAAAAATGTAGGAGGGTTACTGTTTGTGATGACAAATGTGTAGAGGCGCACATAGAGCTGGCAAACGAAGGAGTGCCATCCGTAAGGATAGCAAAAAGTTAAAAATCTCGCGGCGGGCCGGGTGGGCGGAAGAGGCTCGCTTGTACATTTCCCAGTATGCCCTTCGCCGTTCAATGGAACAAGTAGTAAAGCTCATTTGTTCGCGCGCACGAATCTTGAGGCGAGGAACATTTCTACGGCGAGGATAACACTTGCGGCCACATGTACAAACGATAAATCCACTCTCCAAGACGAGTAGTGTCCTTGTGATTTGTGAGGCTACGCCAAGGAAGTGGTTGATGCGCTACACGAACCAAGGAGACCCGAAAGTTTGGGTGGGTGATAAACGGGCCTCACTGCAGGGCAAAATGGTCATTTCATCTATCTGTTTGACACTGTTAGAGACAAGAAGAAGGAATGACATCCGAGACAAAAGAGTTCAGAGCAATGGCACATGTGAGAACTTAACTTTTTAAATGGCTTGGTAATTATCAACTCTTTTAATGGGATACAGGTAAAAGCCCGATTTGAAGATGGGTTTTGGATGCCCAGTGATAGAGTGGTTTAAAGAGCGAAAATTGCAGGTGGAGCGGAGCAGGGCGGTGGCCCTCGGTTTCGTTTGATTTGGGTTCTGTTTGGTAGAGATTTACCACCGGAAAAAGTGAATCTAGATCTGGAATTCACCGTGAATTTGAGATCCATCATGGATCTACCAGCGAACTATTTGGCAAATGCATCAGCTCCAGATCCATGTAGGGGCATTTTCGATGGAATGGCTAGATTTGCCCTTGGCTCACATATTTCTCTCTATCTCACTGACACTCCGACCCACATGTTAGGAAAAAACATCGGCTTAGTTCTTCGAGCACGTGTGTAGGGCCGACCAGAGGCGGGCTCATGACAGTCGGAGCAGGCACACGACCACCGTGGGGCCGACCAGGGGCACGTGGGCTCGGGCGCGAGGGCGGCGCAGTGGAGGCTAGGGAGGAGGCCAACACCGGGCGCGGGCCGGAGCCTCATTGGAGGGCTTCTTCTTCCTCATGCAGAGGGCCTGATGGGGCTGCTTCTTCTTGGCAGGCAAAGGGCGCGCTGTGAGGGGCACTGACGCCGTGGAGTGTCTGCGTGGTGCTTGTGCGGGAGGTAGGCGGCTGGCGGGCGCAAAGGCCTCGCCGGGAGGGCGCCTCTGGGGTGGGTGCAGAGCACGGCTGCCTGGCCGGAGCTCATGGGCACCGGTGGGGGTGTGATCGGAGCCGGTGGTGGCGTTCTTTTAAGGCTTGATGTGGATGTGTGGCGTGGCTGACAGAGCGGGCGGCGCGTGTGCGGCCATAGCGCGAACGGGCGCGGCCGGGGGTGGCACGGCAGGGCGGCAGAGCAAGAAGAAAACACGACCGAGGAGGAAAGGAAAAATAGAAACAAGCGATATGTTGTGTAACGAGCAGTAGTGGTGAGTAATTTTTCCCAACTTCACCAGAAGCACCTCTTGAGGAGCTCCATCAAAATAGTGAATCTAGCCTTTAGATCTACTAATTTTGTAAATCTGGATTTGGTGGACGTGAAATGTTTGGAAATTTTTTGGTGAAGGAAGGCTGAAAATGGTGAATCTGGAGTCGCTGAATCGCTGCAAACATGCCACAGGTTGCGACTTGCGACCCGAAGCTGCTCCTGGAGTATTCACTTGCCATCCGTCCGCCCCAAACTCCACAATCCAGGACTACTGAGCTATTCCCCCGTACCTCGCCGCCACCGCCACCGCCACCGCCGCCGCTCCCTCAGATGCAAGTCATCCGCCCTATTCTAGTACGTCTCTTCGGATACCCTAACGTCGGCACCTCTGCTACCCCAATGCACCGCCTCTCCTCCCCCTGTCGATTTCCCCTCTCTTTCATGGCATCTGCGACGACTCGCTGGTGGCCACCAGCGCTTGAGCAACGAGCTTCCCCACTGATTGTGTCTCCCAATCCACCTGTCAGTCGTGTTTACCGGTGTGTTTTTCTTGACTTGATGCTAAATTTTGCGCCTTTACTTGGTTGCTATAGTTTTTGTATCGATGTAGATTGCTGTGTTTACCCTTCTTAATTTCCTATATGTTGAGTTTTTGAAGGGGAATGGGGGACACATGTTTTTTTTTTTGTTCTGATGCTAATGGTTGGGCCTCTATAGTTGGTTTTGGGATCTGGATTCTGACGGACTGATTTTGATTTACCCTTGCTATGTTGTTTTTCTAAAGCAAATGAGCAAAATTTTTTTCAGTCCATCCCATGACTCCCAAAATAGACAGGATAGAGACTCTGAAAAGAGAAATCGATTTCAGTCTTAGATTATATTGCGATTTCAATTCTGACTGATGACACCATCTTATTCATGTCGAATGTTGGACGATGAGATTAGCTTGTTATATATATATATATTCTCGATTTCAGGCTTAGGTTATATTACGATTTCAATTCTGACTGATAATACCATATTATTTATGTCGTATGATGAGATTATCTTTTTATTCTCTTTGGTGATAGACTTCCTTGTGGACCTCGGAACATGGCCACCATCAGTCGAGTAAAAGATGACGAGTCTGATAAACCAAACAGGCTGCTGCCCATCTCTTCTGCCAACGTTATTAATCTTCCCTTGGACAACATTGAGAAAAGGGGTGCAATCTTGGGGGTTATAGCTGGAGATGACACAAGTGATAAAGATGCTTGTTGGGAAACCTCGGAGGTTATATATGTCAAACATGAGACATGTGGGGAAATTGTGAAGCACACTGTCACTGAGGAAGATGGAAGGAGCACAACTGAGGATCATAAGGGCAAAATAGGTGTCAGTGATGATGAAGGATATACTGTGAATAATGTACTTGCAAGAAGTAGACACCGTGACGGTTCTATATACAGGGGCATGGGCGATACATGGTGGAAAAAACAGTATTGTACTGCAGACTGTAATGAGAGTAAGTGGAAAAAAAAACTCTTTTCCTATTTTTATTTGTTTCCGTAAACATAGCATCTCTCTTTCCATATCCTAAAGCTGTATATGTTTAATTGTGAATTTGTGATCCTGGAGATCATTGATATAAGGAGCCATGGAGCACTGCCTGCCATGTGCAAACCTTCCTCTCCTTGCACTCTTTTAAGTTATGAGGTAATTGCACTGGAGGTCATGAAACTTTGGACGATAGTTAGCACTTCCACACAAACCTTGCACTTTACTTTTGCAAGCCCTTCAATTTGGCACCGTTTGCACACATAGCAATTTGCCATGTTACCTGATGGGAGAGGCTGTGGTGGCATGTAGAGCTTTGATGACATGGACTAGGACCCTATTCCATGCTATATTACTGCATAAATGCCTATATTCCCATGTGAAATTGAATAAAGTAATGCTTTCTTCCAGAAATTTACTTGCATTTCAAACCCTGCAGTAAAACTGTGACCATGGCACAGCCTTTGAGCGTGTATTTAAACGACAGAATTCACAGGAAAAAATGACAGATATAAGCAAAGCCATTGAGCGTGTATTTGAACGACAGAATACACAGGAAAATGACAGATATAAGTGCAAACAACAATAAAAGAATTGGGCAGTCACGCTGATGTAGTTACCATTAGGTTTTAAAGTATCCATACATGCATGCAGCCACAATCTGCCAATAATACAAGATTTTCAAATCTGCTGTCAGCATGACACTAGCAATATCACAAGTCCTCGGACAGTTCACATACTATACATAACCTAAAGGACTATTAGGTCTGAAAGGAGCCAACTGAACCTTCCAATGCCCCTGTTCAGTATGAGGATCAGATTCCCACTTTCCAAAATGTGCACCACTTAACTAGAAATATTGTAACTGTTTCTTTTGTCTGCTTTACAAAAGTACTTCCTGCACAGAAAGAGATATTGCCCCACTGATTGTTATCAATGTTTGTTTGTTGTTGTTATCTTCTTTGTTGAACCCACCACCCTAACCCTCTTCGTTCTTCAATGCTCATCTAACCTCCTGCTTGCTGTTGTGTGTGGAACATCAATTGCTTCTGAACTCATGTTGGATATGAAAGTGGAATGAGGAAGAGGTGTTTTGCTGCTGCTCTGATTAATTTCTTAGTTTTGAGTGATGAATGCACACACTGACTTGTAGGATCAATGAACTGGAAATCATCTGGGTCACCTCCTAGCACGCCAATCTCATCTAAATACATGACACATGTTGTATGTTTTTTGGGACAAAAGAGGCCATGCAGTTCGTGTTGATATCCCCTCCCTTTAGTCCTCATTAGCCCCATGCTCAATACTTTCACTGGAAGCAGCCGACAAGCTTTTCGAGGCAATGGTTTCTTTGGGTGTTTCTAAAGAACTCTTGAGGTAACACGATTCCTAGTAAAAAGAACATAGATTGTTTCTGCTTAGTAGATGGAAAGGAAAAATTTCCAATAGGTCCATGTAATCCTCAAATAGCATATTTACTTTTCAAATATTAATTACCTTTTTACTGTGTTAAATTCCATCAAACTTACAATATGACTTTAATTTTTATGAAGCTCGGTTGGAGGCAATGGCATTATCAGATCCTACAGATTGTATCATTCACGATGGAAGTTGCATTCGACATCAGCCTAGTGGCATGCTGCAAATTTTGTCATTAGAGTTGGCTGAAATTTCTGCGCATGGTGGCTTAGTAGAGTTATATGGGTACATTGCAGTCTTGGGATAATGTGGATCCATTGCTTAATTATGTCATCAATTTTAGCAGGATGAACCCATCATTAAGTAAGGTGCACGTGATCATATCCATACTTACCTTTCATTATTTCAAGGGATAAGTCTACCTAACTTCCCCTAGTATCAGTTTATTTGTTTAATCTCCTCAAGTATAAACCACGTTGGAGCTGCTTTGGAGGCGGTTTCACCCACATGGCTTGTTAGGTGGACACTGCCACATGGGCAAAACCACCACCAAAACCCGTCCCTTAAGAATCATTTAGACGATAGATTTAGATGGTATGGAATATTTCAGGAGCCAAATGCCTGATTTTGTACATAAGTGCATCAAGCAGATGAACCTTGATACTTATGGGGTTAAGTAGGCTTATTCCTTAATTAAGTTACATTGTTCATTTCATAATGTAAGGCTTAACTTATTCACATGCATATATAGAACATATGAGATTGGAACATTACATACGCTCGATAGTATTAGGAAAGGATCCATTAGGATCAAGTGTATATCAGGAAGGATCCATTAGGATCAAGTGTTTATCCGGATAGGATCCATCAGGATCAATTGTATAGGATAGTTTCATGTATAGCCTAGCTTCCTTATATTGTATCACATACCTTGTACTATATGTTGACTATGGCTATATATATGACAGACACCCCCCACATTGCGTGTGTGGTGCGATTCCCATACCTTTCTACATGGTATCAAGAGTCCGGGCCTAGGTCCACTTGCTCCTCTCTTCCCACTGCCGTGCCGCCCATATCAGGGTCGCGCCCTCCCTCCTCTGACCTCTCCCACCTCACCCGGCGGCGCTGGTTTCCTGCCACGGTGCCGTCCCTATGACCAGTCCTCAGGACTCCAGCGCCACATCCGGTGCCCTCTCCTCTGCCTCCGCCGGGTCAGGAACGGCACTGGTGGCCTTCTCCATCCCCCCATACGCCACCATCTACATCGAGTCCCATGTGCCGATCACCCTCGAGCTGGAGCGTCCTAACTTCTCTTGAGGGTTAGCCTTCTTCCTCTCCCTATGCGGCAAGTTCGGCCTCCGCCCGCACGTTGACGGCATGCTGGAGGCACGTCCTGATGACCCGGCCTGGGCTGTGGTTGACTCCTGCGTCCACAACTGGCTCCTCAGCACTGTCGCGGATGCGTCCTCGGCCTCGCCCTCGAGCCGGATCAGACTACCCATCAACTGTGGATGACGATCGCAGGGCTCTTCCAAGGGAACAAGGCCTCCTGTGCCATCTTCCTAAGTCATGAGTTCCACTCGATGACTCAGGTTGACCTCTCCGTCGATGACTTCTGCCAGAAGATGAAGGCCACCGATGATGCCCTGCGTAACGTCGACTACACCGTCGTCGTCTCGTAGCTTGTCTTCAACCTCCTTTGCGGCCTCAACTCCCATTTCTCCAGCACCGCCGACAACACCACGGACTCCAACCTGCCGCCAGACTTCGCCACCGCCCGGGAGAAACTCGTCCTCAAGGAGCTTCGTCTTGCCAATGAGGGCCAGGTAACGTCCCAGACCGCCTTTTTCACCGGATCTCCCTCCTGTGGCTCTGCTTGCCATGCATCCACCTTCAGCCAGGGCACCTCTGGCAGTGGCGGTGGCCGATCGGGCGGCACTGGCGGCTCCCACAACAGGCGGAATGGCCGTGGCGGCAGTGGCAGCGGCAGGGGTGGTCGTAGCCCTCCCCAGCCAGCCGGCCCATGGGTCTGCTTCTCCCCTAGGGCGGCCACCAGCAGCAGTGGAGCGACCAACAGCAGTGGCGGCCCCAGCCCGCCTGGCACCCTGTGGGTGCCCCCGGAGTCCTTGGCGCCTATCGGCAGGCCTACACTGCCTTCACCCTGGCGCAGTACTTCGACAGCGCCACCACTCCACCAGCTGCTTCCAGCCAGGCTATGGTGGTTGGAATCAGGCCGGCCTCATTGCCGCCCTGAACCAGATAATGCTTCAGGGCTCCAACCCCTGGGTCCTCGACACTGGCGCCACTGCCCACATGTCTTCTTCGGATGGTATACTCCTCTCCCGCCTCCCTCACTCTGATTCCTTCATCACAGTCGGTAATGGTAGTACCATTCCTATTTCCTGTCATGGTCATTCTACCTTGTCGGCAGCCAATACTACCTTCAACCTTAACAATATTCTCTTTGCTCTTGCTCTAGTGCGCAACCTTCTTTCAGTTCGCCAGTTTACTCGTGACAACTCATGTTCCATTGAGTTTGACGCTCTGGGTTTATCTGTCAAGGACCTGTGCAACGGGACGCGTGATTCTTCGTTGCAATAGTGGCGGGGATCTTTACACCATCTCTCCCTCGTCGCCGCCCACCTGCAGCCTCGCCACCTCGTCCACGCTTTGGCACCACCGTCTCGGTCATCCTGGTCCTTCCACCCTCGCCACCCTACAGAGCATGTCCGCCATATCCTGTAATAAGCAGCCATGGTCTGTAAGAAGCAGTCGTGGTCTCTGTGTCATGCCTGCCATCTTGGCAAACACACCGGTCCCGTTTAGTAGTTCTTCATCTGTCACTACCTCCATTTTTGAGTTAATTCATTGTGATGTATGGACATCTCCGTTCGAACGAGCACCTCAAAGTTCAAATATTACCTAGTGTTCTTTGATTATTTTTCTCATTCTTTGTTGGTCTTTTCCTTTCGCCACAAATCGAGGTTCATGTACACATTTCAGCGTCACCGAAAAGCATTTCAGTGATAATGGTACCGAAGTTAAATCAATCATTCGTGGCAATCATTGAGTTTCTCTCCGATCCACGACATCACCTTGCGTCCTCTCGTGCCTTTACATCATCTCAACAAAATGGTAAAGGTGAATGCATCCTTCGCACCATCAACAACACCATCCATGACTTTCTTTGCTTCACGCCTCTATGCCACCCCCATACGACACCACGGCGGCCGCCACATTTTCGCTCAACCGACGCCCCCCGTCCATACAACATGCCATCCCCTACCAACTTCTCCACCGGTAGCTCCCAGATTACTCTTCCCTCAGTGTATTCAGCTGCCTTTGCTACCCCAACCTCAGTACCACGACAACACACAAACTCTCCCCTCGTTCGACTCCAGCGTGTTCCTCGGCTATCCTTCCTCTCACAAAGGGTACCGCTGCTTGGACATGGCCACTATCGTGTCACGTCACGTTGTGATCCGCGAGTCCGTGTTCCCCTTTGTTGCAGCTCCGTCGGCGGCTTTGTGCCATCATCACTTGATTTCTTGATGCAAGGTCTCCCTCCACCATCGGAAGCTCCACCTACGGGCGTCGAGCGATCGCGGGCGCCGTCAATTGCTCCCTCCAGCAGCAAGGCTGAGCAGTTGGAACTCTAGGACCCGGTGATCATCTTCGTCGGTCGGTGCGCTTTCCTGGACGCGCCACACCCTCTACCTCCCTGCTTTCGGGCAGGCCTCCGGCCCCAGTGGACCCAACTCCATGTCCGGGCAGGTCAGGCTGCTTTGGGGCCACCTATCAGCGGCGTCCTTGACCCCTTGTAGCACCCTCGGCGCCCATTGCCGCACTCGCAGCATCCACTGACGTGCCTGTTGCACCCTCTGCAGCACCCGCGACACCCTAGCAACGCCCGCGGCGCCTCCTGCTATGCCCGTGGCGCCCATGGCTCTGCCCTCGCGCCCGGTGACACGTCTACGGGCAGGTAGCTTGCGACCGGTCGACCGCTTCGGCTTCTACGCCACGATGGCCTCGTCGATTTCGACCAACTATCGCAACACCCTTGCCAAACCCAACTCGCGTGCTGCGATGGCGGCAGAATATGACGCTCTCATCGCTAATGGCACTTGGTGCCTGGTCCCTCGACCTCCCAGTGCCAACATCATCACTGGCAAGTGGTTGTTCAAGCACATTTTCCACTCCGATGGGACTGACTCGACACAAGGCACGTTGGGTCGTCCGTGGCTTCTCCCAGCAGGCTGGCGTTGACTACGACGAGGCGTTCAGCCTGGTCGTCAAGCCGGCGACGATCCACACTGTCCTGAGCATCGTTGCCTCTTGTGCCTGGCCCATTCACCAGTTGGATGTGAAGAAACCCTTCCTCCATGGTCACCTCGAGGAGACAATCTACTGCCAGCAGCCATCTAGCTTCGTCGACCTGACTACTCCCGACTATGTCTGCTTGCTGCAGAAGTCCCTATACGGACTCAAGCAGGCACCCCGTGCTTGGAACCAACACTTCGCCAACTACATCCGCACTATTGGCTTCGCTGTGTTCAAGTATGATGCGTCTCTCTTTGTGTACAAAGATGGAGATCATGTCGCCTACCTTCTACTCTACGTTGACGACATCATCCTCACGGGTCATCCACTGCGCTACTCCAACACATCACGACATGTCTCCACTCGGAGTTTTCCATGACGGACCACTTCCTCGGGATGTGACACGGGACCGCTCCGGCCTGTTCCTGTCCTAGCGCCAGTACGCCGTTGACCTCCTCCAGCGGGCTGGCATGTCCGAGTGCCACCCTATGCTGATGCACGGACCAAGCTGTTTGCTACTGATAGCGCACCGGTCGTGACCCCTCTGAGTACTAAGCCTCGCCGGTGCCCACTAGTACCTCACCCTGACATGGCCTGACTTGGCCTTTGCTGTTCAGCGTTCATGCATGACCTGCGTGAGCCGCATCTTGCGCTGATCAAGTGCATCCTCCGCTACGTGAAGGGCTTGTTCTCTGCCAGGCTTCACTTGGGCACTGGCCCGGTTGGCTAGATCACCGCCTACTCCAATGCTGATTGGGCGGGCTGCCCTGACACACGGCGCTCCACCTCTGGCTTCTATGTCTTCCTCGGCGACAATCTGGTGTCTTGGTCCTCCAAACGCCAGACCACGGTCTCCCGCTCCAGCGCTGAGGCCGAATACCGCACCGTTGCGCATGTCATGGCCGAGTGCTGCTGGTTGCGGCAGCTCCTTCATGAATTTCACATCTCAGTTCCCTTGGCCACAGTGGTCTACTACAACAATGTTAGCGCCATCTATATGACCGCTAACCCCGTCTGCCACCATTGCACTAAGCATATAGAGATTGACATTCACTTCGTTCGTGAGAAGGTGGCCCTATTAGGACACGTTTGCGTCGTCCATGTTCCTTCGGCGCACGAATTCGCATACATCATGACCAAGGGACTTCCTGTACAGTTGTTCACTGACTTTCGGTCCATACTATGCATCCGTGATTCTCCCGCTACGACTGCGGGCGGGTATTAGGAAAGGATCCATTAGGATAAGTGTATATTAGGAATGATCCATTAGGATCAAGTGCATATCAGGATAGGATCCATCAGGATCAATTGTATAGGATAGTTATCCATGTATAGCCTAGCTTCCTTGTATTGTATCACCTACCTTGTACTACATGTTGACTATGGCTATATATATGACAGGCACCCCCCACATTGGGTGTGTGGTGTGATTCCCATACCTTTCTACATATAGTACACTACAACTACTAATCTGTTTTACATCATTAAAGTTGGGACAGAATTGTTTAGTGGAACACAAAGCTCAGTTTGCACTCTTGGTTCTTGGGGGAGCAGGCTCTGCCTCTCCTCCGTTGTTTTTATTCTCTTCTTAATGAAATCACAGACAGCTCTCCTGCGTCGTTCGAAAAAAAAAATCAATCAATAACTATATATAGGGTTAGTTTATTGTGTTGCTCCGTAGATATATATTGTGTGATAACTCCCATGCAATATCTTGCCAGGCTGCCAAAAAAATTGCTTCGATGTGATTATCTGCCCAAACATTGGAATAGTAGTATATAATACTTTGGATCGTATAAGCCTCTACTCCCTCTGCCCATCAATGTAAGTCGTATTTTTATTTTGAAATGCTGGACTTTATAAGGTTTGGCCAAGAATACAATTATATGCATGTTTAATGTACCAAAGCCGCATCAATAGATTGATTCTCGCCAAAGGTCCTCTAGCCCAACTGGTTAGATGGCTCCGGCGGCACCCCTCAGGTTCTGAGTTCGATTCCCCACGGGGATGAATTTCAGGCTTGAGGGTAAAAAAATCCCCTCGTCTGTCCCACACCAAAGTACAGGTCTGTGGTTGTCCCGTCTCACGGGGATGTAGGTGCCGCTGTACATGGGTGGGGCCGGGGTTCAAGGATTTTCTCGAGCCGCGTGAGAATTCATCTTCTTAATGAAACACTGTGGGAACATCTCTCCCCCCGTGGCTCGAGTTTTTTTTTTTAGATTGATTCTCGAAATACTTTTAAGACAATGTTGATTTTATAGCAATTCACATTATAATGTAAGAGAAGTTGAAGGTCAAAATCTACTTCTGAAGACACTGTCTCCTTTCAAAACATGCCTTACATTGATGGACGGAGGGAGTACTATATTATGAAATGATGGTTTACTGTGAGAAAAGATTTTAATTTTTGAAACTAAGGGAGTATCATGTATTCGAAACAAAATCGAGTAATTTTGGACTCTTGGTTGCTGCTCAGTACACTAGAAATTTTGTTTTTTTTTGTTTATAGGCATTTGAAAATTCATAGCATTAATGATCCCATCACCAATAAAATCATCTTTTTTTTTCTCTTCTCATTTTACACAGGCTCTTGTAAATATTGGGGATTTGAAACAAAATCATATGAATAATGGAGGCTGATTCCCTGGCTCTCTAACCACATTATGCACTTTGTAACCATTTTGTTTCATACGTGACAAAGATCTCGGTTATCAGTTTAAAATATTCCTTTAAATAAATGTTGTTACAAGTGAAACATCATAGGGGAAGCATTTAGCTTTAGATATTTCCTACTTTAATATGAAGAAGTACTGAATATAATAATTTGTAGGGTTCTCTCATCAACATGGCTGGCCCTAAGCGAGGGGTCCACATGATGGACCTTGCTCTAATCGAATATGACATGAGGATCAAGACAGGTGAACAGGAAAAGGATGACCTATATCTGATTGATGGTGCATCAATGATAGGCCTTGCAGGCTTATGGAATTATCCATTTACAATGCGCATCCCTGGTGATTGTGGTGCAGTTAACCTAACTTTAGCACGTCTTGATGATGCAGTTGAGGCGACTATAGAGGTTCTCATATCGGAAGTGCAAAACAGTTTCAGTTTGTTTCTTGGTTGTTTAACAAGTGGATTGAATAAGGAAATTCAGCTCTTTGATGGTGCCGTAGCCAAGTCATGTGGCTTAAGGAGGTCTGTGGTTGCTGTAGTGAATGATTCATCGATAGATTTGAAGTTCAAATTAGGCTCACTGTTATCTAGTTCCGACCAACATTGCTGCTCGTTCAACACAAAAACCCATGGGCATGATACCCAGGAAATGAAGACTGATTTTGCATTAATATCAGTGAAGGTGACTTGGTCAACTTTGCCGGATGGGACACGAGGCTACTACGAGTGGTAAAACTAAGAAGTTAGGTAGAGTGGCAGCAATCAAACATTTTTATGAATTCATAAACTTAGGTGTGGCAAATTTGTGGTGTAAACTATTGTGACAAATAAGTCTTTGTACTTTTTATTAACACATTCAGTTTAACATGCAATAGTGTTATACTGGTATTACAGGAAACAACGCAGAAATCTTGTTAACTAAACGGCTAGCAAAGGCTAGTCCGTGACCAATTGTGTCTCTCTGTCTCTGGCATGTGGAAGCAGTTGCAAAAGCCATATTGGCCTATGCGGTATATCCCACCTGTGGTTGCAGCTTCGGCAAAGCGAGATAAGCTACTTCCTATCTTCAGCACTGGAAATATCGTTGTTGCTGTCCCTAACATCCTCCTCTTCTGCCCTACTCTTCCTCCTCACAAACCCACTATTTATCATCTGCCTTTTTTCTCGTCCTATTTCTCTTCTCCCTCTAATTCCTCCTTGGGCTTGTCATACGTGATTTTTTCAAAGTTATAAGCAGTTTTCAAGTTCCTCATTGGGCTTGTCATGCGTGAATATTTCGAAGTTATAAGCAGTTTTCAAGGGAACTTTGATAATTCTTCTTTGGTCGTTATGTTTCCACTAGGAAGGTTCTTAATAATCTTGTTTCCACTAGGAAGGTTCTTAATAATTGGGAGTAACTTATGTGTTTTTTTCCGAAAAATGCTAGCAACTCTCTTAGTATTACAACGTTGCAATGGTCAAAGGATTTAGATATATGTTTAAAGATGTATTCATTCCGTATGACGGCAGTAGACACACTATTGGACTTATGCAAGACATCAAATGAATTTATCATAACCAATGGACCTCACAATACTAATGTCACCATTTGCAACAAAATTATGATAATTTTCTCCAATCTTCAAAAGCAGATGTGCTGAATTATTGAGCTTTATCTAAACATTCCAAATAAACAATATTATTCTTCGCTTATTGTATTCAAAGGTCATATGGAACGTGCTCTTTTCAGGTGTCATGAAAATCTCGGGCACGTGGTTCAATATAATATCCCTTTTCAGGTGTAAATCTCGGCACCTGGTTTTCAGATGTCATGAAAACCTCGACATCTATTTCAAAATAATCTGATCTCGCGCACAATGGACATGGTACTAGCTTTTAATATTTAAAAACAATATAAATATACATTAATATTAGAGCAGCGAGTACGAATTTGAAGGCAACACACGGTGAGCCAGGCAATCTTGCCTGAGGTTACTCCCCGGATCGTCTGTTTGGCGAATCTCAGGGCCTGCACAGTGGACCTGGTCGGCTATGCTTATTGATATGAATACCAATACTGTTCATATCAGGATCTCAAAGTAGCAAATCACCGAACAGTCTGCATTTCTAAGGTGTTACAACTATACACGTTCCATCCATTCCAGTCTCAGCGTCCACGTAAATCGCAGCCCAGCATTGCACACGAGCCTTAGAGAATAATTCCCGATCAATTGAGTCCAGCAAAAATCAGAAAGCGTTACTCTTGCATCTAATGATGAAACTACACTTTGACCAAATGCTCACTCACTAGACACTACATCACACAACGCATCAATGTGCAGTGGAAGTGGTAGCCTTATCAGCTGTGGTTCTGCTGTAACCCAAACCTTTCAGCTTCTCCACCAACTTCCTCTCCGCAGCGGCCTGAAACCATGAACCAGTGAGCATCAGATACACAACACAACATCAGAAGATTGTCGTGCAGAGATGAGCCCACCTGTGGCTGTGGGTACCTCGAGCATCGGGCTGTCTTTTGGGATGTTGCATGCCAGGACTATGTTCAGACCGGTCTTCAGCACTGAAACATGTGTGAGAGCAGGCTTTCTGTTACTAAAAGCTATGAGTGCAGGGCAATTCGTTACTGCAACTGCCAACAGAAACAGTACCTAGACGACGGGCCATGCTTGATCCAGTGTTATCAGATGTTCCACCTAGTACAGAGGTGACACTCACTCTGTTATCCTGCAAGCGCCATGAGAAGACCGCATAGTGAAAATAACAACAGAAACAACAAAAATATCAGTTCTCATGAGGCAATACTGCAAAAATGACACAAAATGAAATAATTAAACATCACCTTTCTAAGAATAAAGCAATTACTGCTTACCGGCTTAGTGGTTGCAGCAGCATACAAATGGCCAAACTTTGTTGTGTTGCATCCAACCCACACATAGATCTACATCAATAAGTATAAAAAGGAAAAACTCAGATGGGATCACTCACATACAGATTCTATGTACACCAATTAAAGAATGAGAGATACCACATTCATGGTTCGAAAAAACCTAATTAAACCTGAAGCGGACCCCTAGCGTCTCGTTTAGGGCCTAGGCGTCCAATAAAACTCTGGACATGTCTAAGTGCTGCGCATAGGCGTGAGACAGTGCTTAAGCAGCGTAGAAACATGAAAAAGCGGTAGCCTGGCCGGCTTGATGGGCTATGTGTGGCCGTGCGGGCAGGAGAGTAGGAAAAAAGCATGCAGAAGAGCCAGGGAAAAGGGAAACAAGATGTGTGGGGATCAAAATTGCACGTCTTTTCACCACTTCTTTGCAAGTTTGCAAGAATTGGAATCGAAATTTACTTAATGTGCAACTGCAAGTTTGATGTCTGCTAGTGCTAGTTGCCTAGTTGGTCAATGAATTGGATTGGGGTCTGCAGTCTGCTAGTCTTTATGTGTGCTACCTCTTTAGTCTTTATGGGGTAGATATTGGATTGAGGTATGTTCACTGACTTGTTTTACTACTTAGTACTTACTACTAATCTTATTCTCAGCAGCACAAAAATAAAAACACACACAATCGATTAATCACGTTTAATCTACGTTTAATCTTCCTAGGCGCTAGTCAGTAGGCTAGCGCCTAGCGTTTTCTTGAACCTTGACCACATTGCAAACATGCTGAGAGCATTGAAACAAATATACATCCAAAATATCATTGAAAACATGCTGAGAGAACTGAAACAAATATACATCTAAAATATCATTGCAAACAGGCCAAGAAGATTTTTTTTTTGAAGGTCAGGCCAAGAAGATTCAACAAAATCACATTTAAAGTATGGTGAATGTAGAGAGTACAGCAGCAAATCAAGTTTTTTCCTGACAGATTTTAGTCCTGGTATTACAAGTGATACAGAACATTTTCAAGTCACAACCATGATTGGTAAATAAACAGTTCAAGCTTTGCTCACAGTGACAATGTGGAAAGCGAAACGCTTAAAAACTGGCATACTTTCATGTCATTGAAGAGACATACACATACAGGAAATGATTGTAACATCAGGGTTCAAATTTAATTGCTTTTCTAAAAGAAACTTGATAGACATAAGGTACACCTTTCTTTTACCAGATGGCTAACACATAGAGTGAGCGAACTACTAATACCATAACAAGGCTACAATTAGTGCACTTTCTTCCAGGTGAAGGGTTTTTCTGTCATTTTTTTTCTCGAACTACGCAGGAGAGCTGTGTGTCATTTCATAACACGAGGCGCTGTCAACGAGTCGGGTTGTAAGGGTTTTTCTGTCTTACCTATAAATCTTTATTTTCCTTTTCGTGTTACGCTTGGCTGTATGGATTGGTCCAATAGAGTTGTGGTGGTGAACAGACTACGAAAACGTTGTTCCATACTAAACCAGAAGGATCTTGATTTACTACATAGTTTTCTGATTTCTCAGCTTATTCAGCCCTAATTGTGTTGTGAACAGTATTTGAACAACCATAGATCATGAGTACAAGATAGACGTGCCATGACATTCTATTAACCTTGTCTTACTGAAGCGCACAGCCATAAGCCAACATTATCATAAAAAAAGGGTATACCTAGTGTAGAGAGCTCCCGCTCTGTGCGGGGTCTGGTGAAGGGTGTTAGTGGCAAGCCTTACCCTCGCCTGGGCAATGCGAGGAGACTGCGACTCGAACCCGGGACCTTCCGGTCACAGGCGGTAAGACTCTACCGCTTGCACCAGGCCCGCCCTTCGAAGCCAACATTATCATAAAAAGTGAACAAAATTGAAGTCTATCACTAGTAGCCATAACCATGTCAGACAAATAAACACTTCAAGGAGTTCAAGCTTTGCAGACAGTGAGACTGTGGAACAGCCAAATACTTAAAAGTGGTATTGCTTTCATGTAATTTGTAGAGACAAACAGGATACGACTATAACTTCAGGGTAAAAATTTAGTTTCGTTTCTAAAGGAAACTTTGTAGATATCAGGTAGAGTAGAGCACCTTCTTTTTACCCACATGGCTAACACATAGAGCAAATGAACAATACAGCAACTATAAGTAATACCATAAGCACTATTCCTTCCCGGAGAAGGGTTTCTCTGGCTTACCTATATATTTTTTTTTCTTTTTCATGTTGCGCTTGGCTGTATAGCTTGGCCCAATAGAGTTGTGGGGGTGAGCAGAGTAAGTAAACTCTGTTCCAAATTTTAAGCCAGTAGGGTCTCGATTTATTACATAGTTTTCTGATTTGTCAGCCTACCTGGTCAGAGCTAATCGGACTATGGAACAGTATGTGATCTATCATAGGTCATGAGGACAAGATGGACTGGCAAAATGTTAAAACTAAATGCTATCAGGTCACAAGTTCACATCCTAGTAACTTTATTTTACAGAATGAAAGGACACAGCCATAAGCAAACTTGATCACAACACTGAACAAAATTGAAGTCTATCACTAGAAGTGGCATAAGCAATTACTTATATTACAACGAATTCATGACACATCATGAATTTGAACAACTTCCAGTTTGAGTACTTTAATTGCAGCCAAGAAACCTTATTTACCTGTTTAGGGAACCTCACTATCTGAAAATGAAGTATGACATCACGAAGGTTCTCTGTGAAACAAGTTACTTGCAGCTCCCCCTCGGATGATAAGTCACCTGAAGAATTAGTTTGGCCCTCTGTCAAGGTGGGCAAACCCACCGCCAAATCTGGAAAGCTAGTTCTCAGCTCCCCTGGAGACATG